CAATACAACCTTGGCTGGCTCTTTCCTCTCCCCTATGATGTTTCCTAAATCATGATTGTCAATCATGAAAGAATGCCCAAAAAGAGCAGAACATCTACTATATAAAGTCTTCATCCTCTCACGTTAGCCACCACCAAAAAGAAATTAAACCCTTTATTTAATTCCTTTCACAGTTCCCATTGTTCAATTTTTTTCTTCTCCATCATCAATGAAAATGAAGTCCATCACTTGCAGTAATTGGCTGAAGCTTTCAGTGTTCATGACACTGCTCTTGGCTACCTCCGCTGGTAATTTTTACCAAGATGCTGTCACAACTTTTGGCGATCAACGAGTTAAGATAGCCGAGGGTGGTCGACTTCTCTCATTGTCCCTAGATAAAATATCAGGTTCAGGGTTTCAATCCAAGAATGAATATTTGTTTGGAAGATTTGACATGCAACTCAAGCTTGTCCCTGGAAACTCTGCTGGCACCGTCACCACATTCTATGTAAGTTCATGATCATCAGCGCTTATTCTTCTTCTTCTTCTTTTTTTCCTGAAGAAAAATAAAAGTTTCTCTTTGCACTGTATTAATTAGATTTGTGGTGTTTAATTAAGTGGCTAATGGCAATCATATTCTTCTGTAGCTATCATCTGTGGGACAGGGACATGATGAGATTGATTTTGAGTTCTTGGGCAATGCTAGTGGGCAACCATACACCCTCCACACCAATGTTTACTCACAAGGAAAAGGGGATAAAGAACAGCAATTTAAGCTTTGGTTTGATCCCACAACTTTCTTTCATACCTATACAATAGTGTGGAACTCTCAACGTATAATGTAAGTCCCTATACCATGCCCATAAAAAAAGATATTTATAGATGCATGGTGATCATTAATTATCTTTTGATCCCATCTGCCTGATGATCCATTCTTAGTCCTTTCAATCAACATGCTAGTCAAAACATAAAAAATAATAAAAGTTGGATTAATTTTTTTTATACTAATTAACTTCTTTTTTTCACACTAACTTCAAGTCTTACACATCGAACACGCATTCTTGACCGTTAATGTATTTCTCTCGGTACGAGAAAGATTAATCCATAAAAGTTATTAAATATTATTGGTTCAATTGGTACCGTTAAATTTTGATTTCCATCTATTTTCACCAAATGTTGAATTTTTTTTTTTTTTTACTTTCAGTTTCTTGGTTGACAACATTCCGATAAGAGTATACAACAACCACGAAGCCATTGGAGTTCCATTCCCCAAGAACCAACCAATGAGGGTGTATTGCAGTTTCTGGAATGCAGATGACTGGGCAACACAAGGTGGCCAAGTGAAGACAGATTGGGCAAATGCACCATTCACAGTTTACTACAGAAACTTCAACGTCAAGGGAAATGTTTGTGTTCCTGGATCTCCTTGCGGTTCTGGCTCTAAATCCACTGATTCTCTGGACACTCAAGAATGGGAAACTCAAGGACTTGATGGGAAAGGACGAAATAGAATCCGATGGGTTCAACAGAAGCATATGGTCTACAACTACTGTGCTGATCGTAAGAGGTATCCTCAAGGCCTTCCTGTTGAATGCAAGCGTCCGAGGTTCTGAGGAGATCATGGAAAGGGCTGCTGCGAGTTGATGAAATTAATTCTTTGTTCTTTTTGAACATCAAAAATAAAATGGTGTGTTGTTTGGTTTACCTTTTGCTCATCACATATTGTTGTTGAAATTTTTTCTTCTCATCTTTTTCATAATTCAGTAATAGGCTAATTAAAGTTTTACCAATTGGTATCCTTTATGCCGTCGAGCGGAATTCTTAAAAGGAATCCCATGATGAATAAAATATCTTTATGCTTTATCTCTCTCTCTATATCTATATATCGGTTACAATGATTTTTCTTTTCCCTAAAGAAAAAAAGGAAACTTCTGGCATATATCATTGCCCTTTTAGGCAATGCCAGTCAAGAGTATGACTCGGAAGTTTGCTAATAAGGCCGAGTAGATATGGGGTCAGGAAATTTCTTGCTCCAATTAAATAATTGAGGCAACAAATGGTTGAGATATCTTTATCTAAATTTCAATAAACAAAATTACCTGTACAATAATAAATGTGCATGTAGGCATCAACTCGCTATTTTGATATTCTGAAGAAGAAGTAGGCATGGGCAGAGATTTGTTCCTTTTGTATTAAAAAATGCCACTGCATTGTGGTATAAAATGAGACATAATAGTCAACTGGAGAAATGATTCCCCCTCTTATTATTATTTTTTCCTCACTTCAAACAGGATATGCTTCTTGTTAATAAATGTGAACGAATCAAAAGTTGGCGGAAGCAATTTTTTATTTTTTCTATTTGTCCTTTTCGACAACTTATGAGTTTCCTTAACAAGGACTAGTAGGATTCGCCCCTCGGGTCAGCTCAGCTGGTGATCCCACGGGGTCTTCCTCGTGATGACACTGGTTCGAGTCTGACTTTACATACCGTCTGGGTGTTCTTGGGGGCAGGGTACTTCAGGCACAGGGGATTAGTCGGGCCCCGTAAGGATTGATTCGAACATCCCTGTGTTGACAGGAAAAAAAAAGACTAGTAGGATTCAATATCCATCCAAGCAAGTCGAATTTAAGGACTTGCACGTGTAAAAGCAATAAGGATTTTTTTTCTAGATTTCAGGCTACTCACTCACTCACTTTTGCTAGTTTCCCATTTTAAGTATCAAGAGCTTTTTTTACCATTAGATACATGACACATAATTTGAATTTGAATTTGAAACTCAAATTTTGTGTATGTGTCATATATTCAACCATGATAATGTATACATCGTCAGTATACATAAGATTTACTCTTTTTTTAAATTATAATTTTCATTTCTAAATCAGAGAAAGGTAATAAGCACTGATGAGATTTATTATGACCCCATATTTGTAAACTCCGGGGCCATGAGTTTTTTTTTTTTTTGTGAATAAAATTTGACAAATTTTTATTGCTTCATATTGCATATTGATCTTGAAATAAAGACATGGATACTCTCACATATTTTTCTTTTCTTCTTTATATTGAAATGCATTTTTAACTTTTGATTTTAACATGATCAAAAGAGGAATATGCAACTTGATAAGGATGAAGAAAATTCCTCTTTGAACTATCTCTTAGTTGAACTACTATTACAGTAATATTCTCTTTCTTTTGCCAAAGAAAAGTCATTATCACACAAGAAAATTAAAATACTCAGATGCCCAACAAATTTTCGTTAGTCACAACAAAACATTGTGCCATATGGAAGCTTTACCAACCGCAAAACCTACAGGAGCTGTAAGTCTTAATCAATTCCCAAGTGCCATAATCCGACGAAGGAGATCAACAAGTGATGATGGAGATGCTTTTCTTTATTATCTTCTTTTTTTTTTTCTTTTTGAATTTCTCCCTACGATTTTGATGGGATTTTATTCTTTTAGCACATTCTTCCTTTAAGCAGTTTTGAAATGATACTCATTGAATCTAATACGAGCTTATTGTTAAAGGGCAAACACAAATTGCAGGAATAGTTGCGACTTATGAATTTAGGTGGATGGTAATATAAGTGTTTTGGAACCTTAAATTGTAATCATTTCAATCATTTGAAAATTCAAATAATTATTGTCTCTAAGCGATAAAAATTGAGAGAATGAATCCCTAAAGAACCGTAGAATCTTTTTGAATTTTTGAATCACAAGTGGAAATTTTTAAGTAATAAGAGTTAAATTTTTCTTGTTATTCATGATGATGTTTGTTTGAAATACACATGAGGGATATAAATCGAAGGAACGGTTCTTTAAAAAAGGGATTATAGAGCTTTTTTTTTATGGATATTCATATCGATCTAGATTTCTATTCTACAATAATAAAAAGTTCTAAATTTTCTCGTGATGAAACAATAGGATAGTGTTTGTTTGCACGGAAAAGTGTGGGAAAGTGAAGAAAAGTTAATTATTTTTTCCTTCATGCATGTTTAGTTGGCAGAAATGTTACAATTTTTTCTTGCATTTCCATGCATATTGTGTCCTGCAAAGGATTTTGAAGGAAAATAATTAATTACACACAAAAGTTCTAATAACTGCTATTAACTTGTCATTAACTTCTTATATTTTTACAATGTTTTTCTTAGTAACCAAATGTGTATGAAAAACTTATTTTCATTTTCCTACTTCACTTCACTTTTCCATACAATTTTCCTTATATTCAAACAGAGAGCCTAGGGGCTGGATAGGAGATTATTTGAAATATTTATTTGAAATAGTCAGTGTAACTCTCTTTGTGATGTGATGTATGTTAGATAAAAAGATCGTTGGAAAATGTGTGTATGATATGATGTAAGTAAAACAAAATCTGAATTTTTTTTTTGGAAATTCTTGATATCCAAACACACCTTATCTTCAATTAGGTTTCATGTAATATAACTGGGCTGTAGATAGTTGACTTAGATCTCGAATTTGAAATATTGTGCATGATTTTTTCCAGATTTTTGGAATCTGCAAACTGTTTTAATATTCCATATGCAACTGGCTTTACTTTCTTTTTGGAATGACAGATGCGCCAGCAATTCATTTGGATCTGCACTGCTGGATTCCTTTTCCAACTCAAATTCCCAACGGCACAGTTGAGCACTATCCTTTACTGCTCCATTATCCCTCGTGTCTTTCTCTATGTTTTTCATCTTTCAAACCATTTTGATGATCGCACCCAAAATTAACCAAAAAAATAAAAAAAAAAATGCAAAAAAAGATAGTAGTGATGACCTTACATCACAAATGTACCATTATTTTCAATTTTGATTGATGTGCCATATGAAAATTACAAATGGAAATATTTATCTTATTTGTTTTGTAGCATTTACAGGCTGCTGTAGTTTGATTATAGGGATTGAACTTTGTTCTTAGGGAACACTAAAAATTATGAAACTATGAAGTGTAACATGAAACGATTCTATCTTGCAAGCGGACAAAAGGGGAAAAATATGTATATACAATACAAAAAGTGGTCATCTAACAGTAGATGCAACAGTATGAGCCCAGAACCTGAGTTGATCTTTGATTTCCATTTCATTTCCCAAACCTGGATTAATTTTCCAATTCATCAATTTCTTCTTTACCTTTCTCTCAGCCTTCTTTTCATCTAAAACGTCCCATGCTTCAGATAGATATGGCCTTGAAACAACAGGTTTTTCATCAGCAAAATCCTTCTTTTCTTCTTCTTCGTCAACTTTCCTTCCCAATCTCTGCAATCCAGGGATGATGGAAACCAAACTTGAATCTTTATCTTCATCAGAAAACACGAATCCCAGATCCATAAACCCTTTTAACTCCTCAAACTCAAGCTCAGACAAACTCTTGCTATTGTTTCTTCTCCTCTCTCTTCTCCTCCTCTTTTTCCCTGCATCAAAACCAGCTTTATTTTCTTCTACTTCTGAAAACTCTCCGACTTCCTTCCCAGACAGAATCGTTTGTGGCTTAGGCAAAAGAAGAACAGACTTTGGAGAAGGAGACCGATGATCAGGAGAAGTAGTCGATGGGCTATCTTTGGAGCTCAAATTTTGCGCACTAAAAGATCTAACAACAAATGAAGGAGTGGAAGAAAGCTTTAATTTTGGTTTAACCTCTCCATCAATATCAAGAACTGGATTTGAGGTTGAGGGTTGTTTTTTCCTAAGGATGCAATGCTCAAACCAGTAAATATCGAAGATTCTTAGCTCTTCTTCAGCTGACATTTTCTCTTCTGTCGGCAATGAAGAAGGGGTTTTGGCAAAATTCAAGAACTTTTTATTTTCTTGGGTTGATAATGGTGGACATTGTCATACGCTAGAAATGTATTTATATCCCCCCACTGGCCCGTTACCAGTAGGCCATTTCACACACTCACACACACACACAGTGGTTGAGTTGTTAACTTTAAATTATTGATGAGCTTACGTGGATGTCTATTAAAGTAATTCACGTTTTTGTCGTTCGAGATTTATTTTTCAACAATTTGTATTTTGCAGTATTAGGAGTATTAGCATTTAATCAAGCAAGAAAATTTGTTTGTGTGTACGAGGCTTTGACTTGACTTGTGTTTCTCCGTGTTCTCATCGTTCAAGGTTTAGTTTAAGAATAAATCTTACATACACCAAATATTAATCACTAAGAAAAAGACCAAGTCGTACGTTGCATGCCTTTGACTTTAACTTTTTGATTGTTTTCATCATTCTCTATAATTATGTTGGACTCCGCGGTTCACATTATTAACTAGAGATGATAATTTGGTTAGAGTTAATATGAAGTGAGATTAATCACATGTTACATTAATCCCAATTAGACTGAAATTAAACACACACGCTAAACTTTGTGGTTTAATAATCTAATTTCTTGTTATAACTTTTGTGTCTGTCAGTTTGAAAATAGGTTGAACTTGAGGTTTGAAAACTTTTAAGAATACTCCCTCCGTCCCACTTTGATAGTCCTGTTTCTTTTTTCACACAGTTTAAGAAAAAGTAGTTAACTTTATTGGAAAAGTAAATTTAGATTGCTATTTTACTAAAATACCCTCACATTAAATATGGTACAACTTTATGGAAACTTGAATTGATGGTAAAAAAAGAATCAATTCTCATTAAATGGGGTAGGTTTATAGTAACAACTGCTTACATTGAATAAGGGTATTTTAGGAAAATTAAAATACAACTATATTTTTCAATTGGAAAGTGGATTACAATTTGGGACAGATGAAAAAGGAATACAGGACTATCAAAGTGGGACGGAGGGAGTATAATACTAGAAACTACTATGGTTGATACCGCAGAGGGCTATGATTAAATTATTTCAAGATTTAAATTTCACTAAATGTGAGCTATAGTCTAGTCATATGTGTTGGATTGTATTATTGCTACAACGTTGGATTCTAATATGTTGGTATATTGATCCTACAATTTGCGGGTTTGTAGCTAGAGATCCTTGTTTGGATTGCTTGTTTCCATCGGAAAATATTGTCGTTTTTCGTGATCACATTTCTCTATCACCTTTTTCTTTCACATATATCAAATCGCTACAGTAATTTTTCCATGGAAAATGACGGAAAATGCAATCCAAACACAAATGTTTTTGCCAAAAAGAAATCACAAAGGAAGGAAATTTGAGTGTAAACAAAAGCTAGAAATGAATATATATATATATATATATATATACCATTACAAATATTTGCAGTATATTCATTTTTGATGGACGGAACATGGTTATATAATTTTTGTAATAATCAACTCAATTCTTCGGATTCCCATAATCTGAAAGGGGTCCAAAATGTCTGGTCCATTTTGATGCGTAAATTTGAAGAATCAATTGTGCTACTTTGTTTAAGATCCACGCAAGAGGTGAGACTTTTCCTTTCTAACCTACAATGCCCCACACACAACCAAAAGGGCCACAAAAAAAAAAGATAATTGACAAATCAAATCATGATCATGCACTCCTCCAATTAATAAAGAAGAAGAAAACAATAATAACAGCAGCAAATGATGGCCTACTTGAAATGAAGTTGAAATATCAATTAAGGGCCATAGGCATGTGACAAACATTGTTATATCATGTCCCAAATAAAAGACAAAGCAAAACTATTTATGCCCTTCACATTTATGGTTGTTGTGACATTCCTTTCCAACCACTAGAATTAGTCATAATTACATAGGTTTAAGAAACTTTGTATGATTTGCTGCTGTTGGAGTTGAATGTAATTAACTTTCAATTTCTGTGTCAAACCTTCAAACAAATGATAATTAAAATTGATTTGAGCAAATCTGGTCGGTCGCATTTCAGTTTCATTGTTCAACTCAGGGGTCTAATGAAATGCTATGGGATTGGCAAACTTTCCTTTTCTTGACGTCTTTTAAGTCATGGGCAATAATTGCCATCAGACAAGTTGAAAGTATATCTTCAGTCTGTTCAAAATAAGACTGAAAAAAAAGAAGAAGCAAGGGCTGGAATGGATGATGCATGCATTAATTATTCTTCCGGAATTACAAGTGGAACGTTAATATCTTCTGTGCAAACTGCAGATCGAGCAGTGTTTGGAATACACGTAAGCCACCATATCTACAAGAAATTATTCATTCAACTCACAAGTACAATGTGATAAGAAGATGGGAAATCCCGTGATGACTTTAGCTCAGTTCCCAGGTGAAATATTTTTTTTTTTTTTTGGGGCTAAAAATGAAGGGGTTTATTACTAAGTCTGCAGGATATGATCAAGAAACATATATATGTTTGAGAGAAAGAGGAGAAAACGATGCTTTGTATATGTTTATGCTTTGTTCCAGCAAAATTTTGATCATCAGGCACATTGGTCCGTCTGGCAAGTATTTGAGCAACAGTAGAATGGCTTTGATGGCTAGAAAATTCATATTCTCAAATTGAAACTTCAAATGGTCATTTCTATTAAGTGAAAAATCTCTGATGAAGGTCACTAATTTTACTTGTAAAAGTAGGTTGCGGGAATACGTGTAAATCCTTCCAGTTCGGCAATTGTTCAATAAAGGTAAAGAATCTTGTCCAACACTTGCTGTATACTGAAAAATTTTGCTGAGGGAAATGCAAGATGTGGTATAAAAGATGGATTGTTCCAGGTACACATGATCAGCATCTTTTGTGCTTGTTTAGGAAGGTTAGCACATGCTGGTTGAACTTATCAGGAAATTGCTCTTGAACAAAGTGGCTTCCTTCTGGTATGACAATTACCTTCAGATCAGGAACATATTCTTTGACCTTTCCACTAGTCATATATTCTCCTAGACCTGTAATTTTCAAGACACAGTCATTTTCTCCCTTTATAAGCAGGGAAGGAACAGTAATTTTAGGATTATCAAACCGCTACAGGTTCTAACCAAGCCCTGCAGCAGACCAATAAATACATACTTGTTGAAACAAAAACATTGCAAAAATTTCAGAAAGTCATATTTTCAGTATTTGATGATTTTGATTGTTAGAAATTTATTTCCTTTTTGCCTATATGCATGGGACCTGCAGTGCAGTTCTAAAACCGGATTTCTTATATAGGCTTTGCGTATTTGTCGAGATCTTCTTCACTAAACCTAGAAGGTAATGGCACGGATGGATCAACTAAGTCCAAGATTTCCTTGATTTCAATACTTGGTACCATCTGAGGCTCAAGAGAATCAAGAATTGCCAGAAGATCATCCACAAGGTCCTTAAAAGTTGTCTTTTCTGGCTCTGCAGGGACTTCAGAAAGCCCATAGCCTCTGAAATCAGGTCCAATTGCCCGAAACCCAGGCTTGGCAACTGCCAGCATGCAACTTTTCCAGTTTTGATTTCAGTCTCAACTGTTGATGCTCAATCCCAAGCTCATGAAACACTACTAGTACTTTGAATCCATGTATGCACTACGATTTTACATTAATTATTTTAGTTCTACGTACCGACCTTTCAATCCAGACTTCATTCACTTAAGAATAGTCAATGCTTCGAATTCTTTGTCGTGTCACACATTGTCCAGAGCTAAGCCAAGAATCCACACGATTCCGTTTCTATAGGTTCGTATCAGAAGCAAACAAATTTTTGGAGACTTCAATGATCGCAGACAAGAGAGGATAAAATTTTACACCACACATTGTAGCTAGTGACTAGCCAATTTGATCGCGCTGTACGGCTTGGGAGATTCCACAATCTACTGTCTCTAATGCGCAACACCATGCATCTAAGGTGGCTCGTGTAAAATGTCTTTAACACAAAACACTTGAATTGTAAAAATGCATACTCACATTTTACTACGCTCTCTCTGAACTCTAATGTTTTCTCGAACTAATTATACTTTTCTGAAAAAAAACTAACACTTAAAACCACTTTTATCATCGAGTATCTAATGAGCATCTGTTAGCCAGACCGTATATATAAAAAAAAAAAAAAAGGCACAAGAAAGACGGAAAAGAAAACCATTTCAAGAACTCCAAAGTCTAAGAGAGCTTTATAAGATTAGAAGGTTAGTTCATGGAGCAGATCATGTCTGTACCCGGTGTCAAATGAAGATAATCTGAGTGTGCGCATGCATCTGGATAATGGGGGCTAAAGTCTTAAAGGTGATTGTATGATTTTGTCTGATTTGACCCTTTTGTTCTTGATGGATGGATTAGGCTTTTGGTGTTGACTAGCCTCACTTTAGAACTAAGCTTCTGGGCCCTTGAGAACACAAGGGGATTAAATTCTAATGCTATGGCTGTCTGGATACTAGTCCTGACTAGTGCTCTGGACAGTCTTCTTATGTGAAGTCATGGCCCATTTTTCCCAATGGGACATTTCCATCTCTAATCAATTCATTTGAAGGGCAATTTTTTAGGTGCTAGATCATCCTTTTTTCGAACCCAAAAAACAAAAAAACATGTAGATGCTAGATTGGATGGTGTTGAGACTCAATGTCCCAAATTATGTTAAATTACACAACAGCATGTGGTTTTAATGATTTAAGAGATTTGGAATGTTTTACTAGTAGGTTAATTAATGCCTAATTTGATAAAATAATCGTCTTAAAATTGAATCTTTATGAGTTATTAAGATACCATGCACAATGGGGGAGGATTAGGTTGGGTGGTAATGTGGGAGGAATTGTAAATTAAAACATTTTTCTAAATGGCTTCTGGTTCTTGCACCAGTTTATCTAATCAAATCCCCCTGCGAAAGAAGATACTTCATCCAAAAAAGAAAAAAGGAAAAGGGAATTATGAAGGGAGGTGTACCTCAATAATCATCTAAACGACCATGGAGCTTTTGATTCGCATTTCTGCATGGAAACCAAAATCAAAATTATAAACCTCACAATGGTATGGATGTTCACTAATCAATAATCATCCTTACTTTCAAACCCATTGTATAATTAGAATAGTGATTAATCAGACAATAAGAAAAAATATCATTAAATTTGATACCCGTTAATGATTTTCAAACCCATTTTCCAAACATCCCCTAAAACCTTCCTTCAATCAACTCGAATAAAAAGTTGCTATCCTGTCAAGATAACAAAAATACACTTTTTTATTCATCTTTGAATATAATGAACCTATAGTAACATGGCATCCTTTGCCCTCCTAAGGCAATGAAGGGAGCAAGAACTGGTCTTACATGACATCCTTAGAGATTTTTTTTTTTTAATAATCAGTTGCTGATTAAGAAATCAACGAGACTTGTACTACTTTTTTTTCCTTTTTTTTTTTCGGTGTCCTGCATGGAGTGGACCCCGCAAACTATTTCCCACCCTCCACAACAAATTAAAATACCTTTTCATTTTCAATTATTTAACTTTATCTTAATAATCAATCCAATCAGAATAGTATGCTGCTGGCATTAGTAAGATAATAGTCAGAGGTGAATTATTCCTTATCAACCAAACTTAATTGTACAATCTGATTGTTGCTAATCAAAATAGATAGAATAGTCCTATCCACCAATGCGTATCCTTTTTTTTTTTTTTTTTACGAAATGGTTGATTTAATAGTAGTCCAGGTTGCAGAACCACCCCAATTGATGATTTATTCCCTTTTTTTATGCTTTTTATTATTTGCCTGATAATGAGTAATTGTCATTAGAAATAATTAGTTGTATAGGTTAAGCTAATGTTGGCATTGCCTACTAAAAAGGAACATAAGTCGGTTAATAATAATGTTCATCTAGCCAGTGTCGCCAAATAATAGAAGTGCCACCAAACCAACCAGGATTGGTTTTTTTTTTTTTTTTAATTTTTAATTTTCTGCTGATCTCAGGACACAAGAATATCAGCAATTTAATGGAAGCACAGAAAGAATTGAGATATCCCAAAAATTTTGAGAATAAAATTTGATGAAGATAATAAAACCCTTCACTGGATAGGTGTTTTTTTTTTTTTTCACTTCAACAATTTAATTCAAGATCAAAATTGGAGAAAAATAGGAAAAGCCTTTTACTAGATTAGTGTATCTTTTAACTCCAATATTTTACTACTCTGAAGTTTATGATGGTTATGTTGTTGTTATCCCACTTTTCGACAAATAAAACTAAAATGTTTTTCGGAATTTGCATAATTAATTGAGTGAAGAAAATTGAATGCGATTAAAGTGAATGGCTACAGCTCTAATATGCATAGGTATATCCACATTGAACACTTGTATCATTTTCTTTAATGTGATACTTTAATGCATATGAATAGAACTTTTTTATTTTCGCCAGGAAGCATATACTCCCTCCGTCCCACTTTGATAGTCCAGTTTTCCTTTTTCGTCTGTCCCAAATTGTAGTCCACTTTCCAATTGAAGAATGTGGTTGTATTTTAATTTTCCTAAAATGCCCTTATTCAATGTAAGTTGTTGTTACTATAAACCTACCCCATTTAATGAGAATTGATTCTTTTTTTACCATCAATTCAAGTTCCCATAAAGTTGTACTCTATTTAATGTGAGGGTATTTTAGGAAAATAGCAATCTAAATTTACTTTTCCAACAAAGTTAACTATTTTTTCTTAAACTGTGTGAAAAAAGAAACAGAACTATCAAAGTGGGACGGAGAGAGTACGATAAGTCTGAGATATGCTAAAAGTGTGGTATACAATTGACTACGGATTTTCATAGAATTGCAACCTTTTTCTTTCTTTTTGTTTTTTTGGTTTTTGGAAAATACGAGCAGAATTGGCATCTTGATATTTCATTCCTCTTAAATAAAGAATCCACAAGTTCTATGACGTCACAATTGACTGCAGCCTGTTGTTCTCTGTCATTATTATTCATTAAAATAGGAAGTTTATATAGACAAGTAATCAATTAGATAATGATAAAACCAACACCAATTCCCCCTTCCACGCCACCTTTGAATACACAATACAATTAGAGGGTCGTACATTTGATTATTTTCAATAGTTCGGAATCTTCTTGGTTCCTTGTATTGAATGACAAGAGATAAAACTATCATTAATAAAGGCATACACATTTTTTTATAGCTCTGAAGTCGTACATTGTAAAAGAGAAAGGCCCTGTAATAGGTTTAGTCCGTTATGCAGCATGATAATAATCCTGATCGATATATCCTTTTCATTCAAAGGTAAATAGATGCTTCTGATTCCGTTCATATCTCCATTATGTTTCCTATAAAAAGACAAAGCATTGGTATATCCAATTTTTGGTTAGAAAAAAGGATGTCCAAGAATTTAAACTGACATGCATCTTTCCCTTTAGTACTTTAGTTTAGTACGTACGTGTTTGATAAAACTGAAATTTGAAATTTGAAATCTGAATCTATTAAATTAGTGAATTCTTAAATACTAAATTTGATACATTTGAGTGTATATTACATTAAATGATAAGTGAATAACTTATCACTTATTTTTTGGAGTAAATTTTGTCTAGAAAATTCAGCGCCACTTAATGAATTTTTTCAAGTGTTCTAATTTTGGTTATCAAACGCGTCTGAACCCATTAAATTTAAGTGTTGAGTTAAATTATCAAACAAGGCCTAACAGTTGTTACAATTTTAAGCAACTAAAATTTGTCAAAAAATTTAGTAATGAAGATTCATGTACAATGACTAGATCCTAACCAAGAAGTTATGCTCAAGTGTTACAGTTTACAATTGGTTTATGTCACTTTTATTTGTAAAGCTTACGATTGGTTTAAAGTTCCCTAGGAAAATCTCTATACTCTTTTAGAATATGCATTACTTTTTTTTTTTTTTGTCAACACAAGGAGTATCTCAACTTTTACCAGACTAATTTCCCTACGCCCGTACACCCCGCCCTCCAAAAATATATGAGAGGATAGGAGAGTCAGAGTCGATCACACGATCTGGGACCTAACGAGGTTATCCCATAGCCAATCTGCGGCCGAGGGGCCTTAGAATATGCATTACTTGACTCTCTATTTCCCTACTACTTTTCCATGCACACATTCAAGAAATGCATGCGTAGTTTATAATTTCTAAAGCCTAGTATCTGATCTACTAGGTATGAAACCAATGACCGCAGGCAGTAGTCATTATTTTACTATGTGTGAAATCAAAGACTCGATGAAATTGCCATGTGCCATGCCATCCCCCTGGATGGATGGCTGCGAGAGCATGCTGAGGTAGACTGAAAACTATTTTATTGTGAACAGGATTGACTTTGGATAAGGATCCACATTAAATCATCAAGATTTCTTCTGAAACTTAGAACATTCAAAGATCCATTCCAACTAGCTAGCTAGGTTACTTGGGTTCAGTAATTGATGGCGGGCTAGTTTTTTTTGGAACATGTCAAGTTTTGGATTAGGAACTATAGCAAGGAAGACAAACAGTAGTGGTTCAGTCACATTCTATCACTTTTTGTCCAATAGGAGTAATAATCAAGTTGTCACACTAGATAAAGAATTTACAAGTGCTGCACTTCTTTACGTTTCCCTTCTTTTTCCTGCCTACTAATGCTAACTGAAAACTGGCAAGAAAA